CAATTCTGTGTGTCCTTTCCCTCCAATGCAGCGAGCTGAGGGAGCAGAAAGGTTGCTCTGAACAGTTGCTGAAATGATCTTGTGACAGGAGGAGGAAAAAGGCTTTTGGGAAGATGTTACATGGCAATATCTGCCTCCTAAAGTCAATCATCTTTTTCTCCTAAAGAGAAACAAGTTCAGGGGCTGGTGCTGATCCTCACATATCTCATCTGGACAAGCCTTTTCTTTGAAGGGACCTCACCTGGCTTCAGTCCCTGGGTTAAGAAGTTTGGTGTTTGCAGTTCTCTCATTATTTTAGCTTTTTTTAGTCATTATTTTAGGTCTTTCATTATTTTAGCTATTTCAGTGATGAAGACAGGGCAGTGCCATCAGAGGTCATTCAGCCAGTCTTTAGTTGTTGGAAAAAGCCTGAAGACTGCTTTTCCTGTAGGTGTTTCTCCAGATGTGGATACAGATGAGCTCTAAATACACTTTCACAGAGGTATCACAGCATAACCCTGTACACTCTTAAATTTCCTTGATACAGAATGGCTGTCAGTCTGTCCTGAGACCAAGGGAGCAGTTCCTTATACAGAAAGAGATATTCCAGCTGGCCCTGGAAATGTGTTGCTGCCCAACAGAGCCAAGGAATTGGGTTTTCCTCACCAGAAGAAAAATACTTTCTCACTTCCCTCTGCTCTAGTCTGTGAGCACAGGCTCATTCCTTGCTGCCTGAGCTTGCTGTTCATCCTTTTTTCTTTTTGCACATTGCAAACACCTGCATAATTCTGAAATAAAGCACTTAACCTCTGTGCTGGGAAGCTTTTTTCTGCCCAGTACCCACCAGAAATGTGTGGTCCCTCCCTCCCTCTTCAGCTCATTGCATGTCCCACAGTGGTCTCTGGACTCCCAGAAGTTCTGCTTTTTCTAACAGAAGCAGCATCCTTAATTCTACATTCTGTAGTAAAGCAAATCACTTCTAAAATCCATTGTTTCTTCCCCCGGCCCTGCTTTGGGTAATTATCCTGTAAGTTTGGTGTATTTCCTTCTCCAGTGTGAGAGCACTGCACTGTGGGACTGATGGCAAAGCAGTTTGTGCCCTGATTGTCACCAATGTCAGGTGCTTTTTTACAGGGAGGAAATCTAGATGTGATTAATTTTGAAAATAAGGCACAGAAGGAAAAAAAAAATTAAATTACATTTTTTGTTTTGTGGACTGAAATGTCTGTGCTCCTCATAACCCTCAGAATTTGCAGCAGGCCTTGTGCTGTTTTTCAGCACCAAAATTGCCTTTTTTCCACCAAGGCTGTGAAAAAATAAGTTCTGAGAAATGTGAGCTCACCTGAAATGAAGCTTAAAACATTTTTCTTTGCTGCCTTGTCCCCAGCCTCCCTGACACCCTTGGACAAGAGAGCAGTGGTTGCTTTCTCTGTTCTTCTGAAGGAGCTGTGCACAGCCCTGGGCTTCTCCTGATGTGGTGATTTGGGCCCCAGGTGTGGCTCCAGGAGGTTTCCCTGGTGGTGGGAAAGCCCCTGCTTGGGGCTGCCTGTGGACTCTCCCATATTCCACACATGGCAGTTTGTTTTTAATTCCAGACCTCCATTTTCCCAAAATTCATTTAAACCATGTGCTGAAGCACATTGTTTGCCTCTCCTCTTTGCCCTGGATGAGGGAGGTGGCCTTTAAATCCTGCCCCTGGCCAAGAACATCCCTGGACTGGAGGAAGGTGGAGTGTGCTGGGGCTGGAGCCCCCTGTCCCTCTGGAGATGCTGCAGGCAGAGGCGGCTCCAGAGCAGCACAGGGTGCCCTGGCCTGTGTGGACAGAAGGGAGGGGCCGAGCTGAGGCTCAGGGTGCAGCCCAGGATGTCCCAGCTGAGCTGCCAGACCTGCTCCCCTCGCCCCACCTGCCTCAGGCTCACCCAGCAGGAGCTCTGAGCAAACCCATCGAGTGCTGGGGGCTCTGCACCCTTGTGCCAGCCTGGCAGAGGCAACAATGCCCCTGCCTGGGAGGAGATCTGGGCAAGGAAAGGTGCTGAACTCGGTGTTTGCTTGCTGGACCAGGGTGTCCATCCTGCCACGTGCTCTCTGTCCAGGGCAGGCAGAGCATTCCCAGTGTGGCTGGGTCCTTTCAGCACCACCGTCCCCATCCAAGGCCTGGAGGTGTTTTCCTGCCAGAGGATGGACAGGCTCCACCAGGAGCCTGTGGGGCTCTTGACCACATCTCCACACATAAAACTTGGTTGAGGAGAGGGAATTGAAGCTCCTGTAGGTAACAAGAAGACAATGCAGGAGGGATGTGACCACTGTGACAGACACTGCAACTGGCTCTCACAAATTCCCCAAAGAACAGTCCTGTTACAGCTGCAGCCACTGAAATGTTCCCAAAGTGCTGCACAGCCTGGAACAGTGATGCTCCTCAAAGTTAATGGGAGTTCTTCAAGTCAGTGGGGGTTTTTGTTGTGTCTCCTGATCAGACTGAATGAGTGCAGGCATTTTGGCCCCAGTGATTGATTGTCCATGTCCAGAAGCAATGGAAGGAGCATTTGGGACTGGAGGAACCCTTCTCTGCTGCTCTAATGCCTGTCCAGGCCAGCATGGGAAAACCAGAGCAGCAAAGCCTCCTGCACACCTGTGGGTGCCTTGCTGTGCCAAGTAACCCAAAGTGTGTCAGCAGCCTCAGACACTCCTGCTTCCTGTGCAGAGCTGCAGGGAAAGCAGCAGGGACTGAGACTTTGAGGGTGTTTCTAACCAGGACCGTGCTGCTTTTGCCACTGATGGGATGGCAGCAAACAGCAGCACAAGTGAGAACCCAGGTGAGGTCCAGGACACTTGGGAATGGGACCTTCCCTCTGTGGCTGGTGGGGAAAAATCTTTCACAAAAGCTTTATTTTTTTTTTCAAGCTCACACCATGTGTGTGTGTGTGTGTTCAGTTGAGCTGCTCAGTTTATGCTGGTCACTTTTCTCCAGAATATGCAGCTGTTGAATTAATTGTCTGTGGGGTTGTTCTGGAGGGAAGGGACTGACCCAACCCTCATCTTCCCACATCCCAGCAGGGCAGGGACAATTTACAGGAGTGCTGTGGGAACACTGGACCATGGAAAACGAGGTTGGGTGCAAATAGGATGGGACCCTGTACATTCATTCAAGAGCAAATGGGATCTAACACATCTTTTTATGTTTGAATTTTGATGTTTGAAGGGCTTGAGGAGGACCACACCTCTGTTAGGCAGGACAACCCAAAAGGGCCAGGAGCTGCTGGTGCCAAAAGATGAGATGGGGAAGAAAACTGGCTTGGCTGAACTTCTGCCTGGAACTGAAGTGAAAATATTAATTTCTGACTTTTGGAAGAACAGAGAGGTGATTTAGGACAACTACAATGGTGTCATGGGGTTATGCAGGGAGAAAATAAGAAGGGTCAAAGCTTAACTTGAATTTAATCTGGCTACTGCCATAGAAGACAATAAAAAAATGTGGTTGTAAATACATCACCAACAGCAGGGCTAAGGAGAATCTCCCTCCGTTATGGGATGTGGCTGGGGATGGTCTCTTTTCCCAGGTATCAAGGGATAGGACAAGAGGAAATGGCCTCAGGTTGTGCCAGGGGAGGTTTAGGTTGGATATTATGGAAAATTTTGTCATTGAAAGGGTGCTCAGGCATTGTCCACAGGACAGTGGTGGAGTCCCCATCCCTGGAGGGGTTTAAAGAGGTGATGTGCACTTGGGGACGTGGGTCAGTGATGGCCTTGGCAGAAACTGGGGAGGTTGGGCAGGATGGCCTTAGAGGGCTTTTCCAGCCTAAATGGGTCTGTGGGAAAACCGTGCTCAGAGCAGGGGTGACCCCTCCTGGGCCCCCATTCCTCTCCTGATGGACCAGTGCAGCCAGCAGGGAGCTCTGCAGGTGCTTTATGGCCCCAAGGGTGAATGAAGGGGTTGGGGGTGTCCCTTTCCCACCCCCTGCTGTCCCCTCACCTGGGTTCTCTGTACTGCCATAGACCTCTCTGAGCACCAAAACCCCAGAACTCATCTCCTTGGGGCCCCACTCTGCCAGGAGCAGAGTGAACTCCCTGCAGGGGCCTGCCTGAGAGCTCCCAAAGCTCTCCTCCCAAAATAATGAACAAAATCAAACCAGTTGTTTGCTGGGAGGCCTCATCCATGCTCTAGAGCTGAGCTGGAGTGACCCAACCCCTGATGCACTGCAGCTCTCAGAGCTGGGTGCATGGCTCAGCAGACTGAAGGCTGGGCTGATTTCCATCTTCTTGACAACCTTGGTTTGGTTTTAGGGCTTTTTTCCCCCCTTCTGTTCCTCCTTCCAGTCACAAAGATGCCCAACCACCAGTCTGGTGCTGCTGCTTCTCACGTTGGAGTGAACTGGTGACTCAGGGCAGGATGCATGGACAGGTGGATGTTCAAACATCTCACACTCACCATGAACTCAGGCAGTTTTGCCCTCCAGGGCTGGATGGTGGCTCAGCCACAAAGAGCCCATCTGGGTTGGATGGGCCTTGGAGAAACCTGGTTCAGTGGAAGGTGTCCCCAGGAGATCATCTTTAAGGTTCTTTCCAACCCCAACCATTCTGGGATTCTGGGACTGTCCCCATGTTGTCACTGGTCCCTCCTGACACCGCTCTGGTGCCAACCAGAGCAACACTCTGCTTAAGGAGCAGTCTTCAGCACTGCTGGCTTGTGCAAACTGGCAAAGCAGCCAGATTTTTCCAGTCTGTTATGAGCTGGACCAGTGCAAAGTGTGGAGATTAAAGGCCTGGATTTGGCCCCTGCTGTCCTACATCAAAGAAGCTTCCAAGCCTCCAGAGGAAAATCCCAGAACCCCCGTGAACACAGATGCTCTGCTCAGCCCTTTCCCTTGGGCAAGGGAAAGTAAATCCTGTGGGCAGAGCCCTGTCTTGGAGAGGGAAAAAAGACTTGTCTGGAACAGAGGAAACGAGTGTGTGAGCATGGCAGAGAGAAGAGAGGGGAAGCAAACTAGATTTCTTTCTTTTATTATACAGGATTGTATGTACAAGGTCACCTCTCTCCCAAACAGCAGCAGCACAGTCAGTTCACAGCCAAACCTGCAGCTCATCTCTCCAGGCCTGGAGAACAGCTCGGGACAACTCGGGGCAGACCTTGCACAGGAACAAGGGCAGGGCAAGCACGGGGCTCCCTCCAACCCCTCCCCAAGCAGCCCAAACTAAGAAATGCAAAGAAAACTTTGTGCTTCAAGAGCCACGTGTGCTCCAGGACGGCACCAGGGGCAGGGAAGTGTCACCCCTGGAGCTGTTTTCCCTTCACCCTTCCAGGAGATGCTGTGGATGAGGCTGGAGCACTGGGAGCACGCAGGTGTTGTGTGGGAGGGACTGGCCGGGGGAAGGTGTGGACACTGCTCTGGTTCCAAGCACGGATGTGTGTGCTGTCCTGGAGGGGAAGGGCAGGCAGGACACAGCAGCTCTGGGTAAAGCTGCCCAAGCTCCAGTCCCGGGAAAACGGAGTCCAGGAGGGAGAAACAAGGAGGAGAACGGCCGAGGCCTCTCGGTGCGGGGGTCCCACGATGAGCCCTCTGCTCACAGCACGGGGCAGGGGGCAAAGCAGCTGGGATCTGGGGAGCAGGGGAGGTGCTGGCACACCCTGCCCGGGGTGTCCCCGGCCTCGGGCACGCCGTCACCCTGGCGCTGGAGCTCAGGCAGGAGTGGCAGCACCACTCCCCTGGCGTGTCCTGACCGGGGCAGGAGGAGACATGGGCAGCCAGGGAAGGGGCTGATGTCTCTGGCTCCAGGCTGCAGGAGTTGGGTGCTCCACATCCCTTCTGGGGAGCAGCTGGTCCAAGGAAAGGGTCTCATCTGCTCGCACCCCTCACTCTGCAGAGGCTTGCTCAGCCCTCACACGGTGGAGGATGAAGACACCAAACCACTGAGGGTGACGTTTGCTTGCTTTCTCCTGCTTGGGATCACTTGCTTTCCTGCAGCTTCCTCTCCCCTATCCCTCTTCAAGCCGCTTCCCAGAGCACAGCAACTGCTCCAGCACCGACTCCTTTCCACCTGGAAGCGACCGTGGACACACAGCAGCTCGTGGGGCACAAGAGAGGTGACAGGAGGTGGCTGTGCTGGAGGACAGCTCACCCCACAGCCTCTGACCCAGCTGGATCTTCAGCACAAGAACACAAACTGTCCAAACTGAGACACTGCTTCTCCCTCAGTTAGGAAATGCTCTGGCTCTCACCTCGCAAAGGAAAAATGTCTTAACTGGGCTGGGCTGAGCTCTCTCTGCTCTCCTGCAAGCAGCTCTAGAACACCTCAGGACACTTCTGCTCTCTGTGGTGGCTCTGGGTTGTGCACGTCTGGCTCCCGCCTCCTCTGCTGGCTGCAGAGCTCCGAATCCATTGCAGGGGTGGAGGGGATCTGCTGGGAGGATGAGTTTTCTTTGCCTTTGCTTTACAGATGGATGGAAGATGTCGGGCCATGTTTCTCCTTTGAATGCCAGGTAGAGATGACAGCAGCACTTCCATTCAGCTTGTCTTGCTCAACGTGCCAGGACAGGGTTTAGCCTCGTGCTTTCCTCACACTGCTGCTCCGCTGCAAGGAGAGAAGGGGGAGCTACAGCACCGTCCTTGAACCCCAGAGATTTGTCACTCAGGAAAGGGGGTGAAGGGCTGGCCAGTGACCCAGCTGAGCAGCCCAGCTCCATGCTAGGAAAACACAGAGGATCAGTGGAAAAGAGCTTTTCCTGAAGCAGCAACCCCCCAGGCCCAACAGGAGAGCTTTGGCTCCATCAGCAGCACGGGAGCTGTACCTGGTTACTGTAGCCTGGCATCCTCCACGTCTGTGTAATGGCTGTTCTCCTGTAGGGAAAAGGGAACCACAAACAGTGAATCACCCTCCTGCCCTGCCTGGGACACTGGGACACCTCACATGTGGTCACCAGCTGGTGCCCTGCTGTGGGAGAGCAGTGCCAGGGTGCTCAGTGTGATGGAGGAGCTACAGACCACACTGGCATGGACACCGGGACCAGGGCTGTGCTTTCTGCCACAACACAGGCCCAGGAAAAAACACAAGTTTCCTCTGGCTCCTTGTTCTGAAATGGCTCTGCCAAACAGACCTGAGGTGTGGAATTCCCTCCAGGGCTTGGAAGTAACAGAATCACAGAATCATTCAGACTGGAAAAGACTTCCAAGATCACCAAGTCCAAGCAGTAACCCAGCCCCTCCATGTTCACTTCCCTGGGCAGCTGTTCAATGCCTGGCCACCCTTTCAGTGAAGACACTTCCCTGATCTCCAATCTGAACCTCCCCTGGCAGTTTGAGGCCATTTCCTCTCATCCTGTTTCTTCTTCCCTGGAACTGCCCAGTGCTGCCAAGGTGCATCAGTCCACAAAGGCAAATCAGTGTTATGAATTCTGCTGCTGAGCACAGGAACTGGTCCCAGTTTGCAGCAGAACTCATTCTCCAGGACAGTAACACTCATCCATCACTCCAAAGGCCACAAAAATGGTGCTGAACTGCTCCCCATGCAGGGGTTTGGAAAGCACAGCACGTGTTGGCACTGACTTGATGGTCTTGGAAGTCTTTTCCAGCCTTTATGGTTCTCACAGGAATTTTTCTTCTGGAGTTGCTGTGCAGAGCAGCATCACTGGGGGAATGGGGTGCTCAGCAGTGCTGTTTAATCTCCTGCACAGGGTGAGGACTTCAGGGACGGAAATGGATCCAGGAGTTGTCTGCAGGAGACATGAGGGGCTCCAAAAGGAAAGGCAAGAGAACGGGCTGAAAGCCAGGGGAGGTGGCCTTGCCCTGGGCAGAGCCCAGCTGCAGTGGGATGTGCCTTGGAGCAGGCCTGAGCCAGCTGGGAGCCTGGGGGGAGGACCAGGGCCAGCCCAGCGTGGGTGACACTGTGACAGGCATCTCCTGCACACCCTGGGGTGACCTCCACCACCCTGGCATTGGGGGGGAAGGGGCAGGGCTGGAGCAAGAGACAAGAGACTTCTGGAGAGCATCGAGAGTAAGTTCTGACCCAGCTGAGCAGGGGTGATGTGGTTCTGGTTCCTGATGGCCTCCACACCTGGTCAGGGTGTGAAGGTGGAGAGAAGCCTTGGCTGCAGAGCCCACAGGCCTGTGAACCTGAGCACCCTGAGTGAAGTGACCAAGAGCAGGATCAAATCCCTGAACTTAAGAGAGCAGATTTTGGGTTGTTCAGGGGTCTGACTGGTAAAATCCCATGTGAGACTGCTCTGGAGGCCAAGGAGGCTGGGACACCTGGACTCCAGTGGTGTGAGGCTTCCAGTGGGCACCCAGCACCAACCCCAAAAACTGTTTAGATGCAGACTGGGTAGATAAATTACCAAAACTGCATGAAAACAGAAGAAAATCTGACTGCAAATCAACCACTGTGCTGTAAATGCCTGAACACATCAGGAGACCTTTAGTTTTCCCTCCAGAGCAGCTGTCTGTGTGCAGGGATCTCCCCTTGAGCAGACCCATCCCTCAAGACACCCCTCAGCTGACACCAGGCATTGATGGGCTGGCAGGTGACATTTTTTGCACACATGTGACATTTGAGGCAAGTACACAATAATTGTATCCCTCTACTAGGTGTAGTAAATAGCACAGACCACCAATCCAGCTGCACTTACTCAATATTTTCCATATCCAGATTTATGGCTCAGAACTCAATAAACTCCCTCAGCTCTGTCTGAGTGACCTCTGTCTCTTTTTCTGCCACTCCCCTGCCCCTCAGAGCCAAAGAGATTTTAGGGACCCCATGTGGGTGCCATGTCCATGGACAGCAGGTGGTGATAGCCACACTGGGGTGTGGGATAAAGGATTCTCCGGAACTGGGGGAATTCAGAAGTGCTCAGTGCTGTGAGCTCTGCTGAGCTGCCTTGCAGGGCTCGAGAAGCTCCCTGCACATGAGCTGCACACGCTGCCCTGAGCATCCAGAGCACTTGGGAGCCTGTCTGAGGCTGGCAGTGGAATGTTTCTGGTCTTGATGCCACATCAGGACCAGGGAGTTACGGAAAACAGAGATGTAAGTGAGCTGAAACAATCATCTTTTTCTTCTTCTCTTAATGAGGACCAGCTCTTCCCAAACCACTGCCAGCAGATGTCTCTCCACTGTTTTCTTACCCCAGCAAAGGCACAGAAGTGCACATTTTTTGTTGACAGGCTGTGTGCTGCTTTATCATCATTAATATCAGCAAGTTTCCCCCTAATTTCTACCATCTGTTTGCCCTGATGTAACTCAAACCTGGCCTTCCTTTTCCTGTGCCTTTCTTCTTCCCAGTGCCTGGTGTGACGTCTGTCCTCCCGCAGGACTGACGGACTCCAGCCACGAGGCCCCAGACCTGCAACAGCTGAAGGAGCTGGTTCAGAGCCCTCACCCATCATGGCTGGAGCAGGACAGAGCAGGAGAGCACAAACCAGCTGGGAATGATTGGAGCTGGAGGAGTTCAAGACCTTGGGAAGTGCTGTGGGTGTGCAGTGTGGTCACCCCAGGGATGGGGGGGTGAGGAAGAGGAGAGGGACGCTGAGCTTCATCCTCATTTCTGCTGCCACCAGTGCTGGGGTGGGGAGGGACTGGAGATGTTCCAGGGGCCACTCAGGGCAGCTCATGTCCTTCTACCCTGCAGCCCTGCTGCCCTCAGCCTGGATCTGGAGCTGATCCTGCTCTCAGCAGTTTGGGTTTGGGATAAATGGCAGTGCTGCCAGTGTTACCACAGTGCCTGGAATGACCTGTTCTGCACCCAAACACTGGGCTCCCATCCAAATGCACAGATTTGTCACTGGGTTCACCAGGAACACCCTTGTTTGGGGCAGGACTAGGAGCAGTGGGGCTGATGTGTGCCAAGACATGATCTTGGCTTGTGCCACAGGACAAGTGCCTCTAGAGAGGGACTTTGGATAAGAGCCTGGAGTGACAGGACAAGGGAATGGCTTCACATTTCCAGAGGGCAGGGTTAGATGGGATATTGGGAAGAAATTCTTCCCTGTGAGGGTGGTGAGGCCCTGGCACAGGGTGTCCAGAGAAGCTGTGGCTGCCCCTGGATCCCTGGAAGTGCCCAAGGCCAGGCTGGATGGAGCTTGGAGCAACCTGGGACAGTGGAAGGTGTCCTGCCCATGGCAGGGGGTGGAATGAGAAGTTATCTCAGGTTCTTTCCAATCCAAACCCTCCTGTGTCTCTGTGGGTGTCTGATCAGCTGCAAGGGCACTGCAAATGCAGCTCATCTAACACAGCCTGTCTGCTGTGTGTTTAAATCCACCTAAGGATCACTTGGGAACACAGCACCTTGGTTTAAACCACTCCTAGCTCTGAAATCAAGGATAAATGTCTGAATTTCAAGAACCAACTGTGTTTCTTCAGCATCTCCACACGTGCTTGCAGGGATAGTGCTTCTGCAGGCAGCAGAGCGGCTTGGAAGCTATGAGCAACAATTTGATTTAAATACAGTGATTTCTTTGGAGGAAGGAAAAACTACTTTTCCTGGGTATTTGGCAAGTTCCAGTAAAACTGTGGCCCACTACTGGCCTCCTTTTCTGCAGGGGTGCATTACCCAAGCTCTCTTACCAGTTCATCTTCACACTCCTCCCGTGCCAGCCCCTCCTCCTCGCCCTCGTCCCCGTTGAGCGGCTCCTCGGCGGTGGCCTCGGCCTCGGAGGCCGTGTCCTCCTGGGACACCTCACTCTTGCTGCTCTCCGCCTTCTTCCGGGCCTCTGTGGGGCAACAGCGGGATCAGGGCTGGATCAGGGCTGGGATCAGGGCTGGGAACAGAGCCCCAGCCTGGGCACCCTTGGAGAGCCCCACAGGGCAGGGAAATGGCAATGATGGAAACACTCCCTGCAGCTGGAGCTCTGCTGGTGTGGAGGAGGCAGCCTGGGACACCATGGAGAGGGAACAGCAGGTCCTACACCCCCCAGCAGGATAGGGATGGGATAGGGATGGGATGGGATGGGGATGGGCATGGGGATGGGATGGGATGGGATAGGATGGGGATGGGGATGGGGATAGGAAGGGGATGGGTGAGGATGGGTAGGGATGGGGAAAGGGATAAGACAGAATAGGATAAAACAGAGATAGGATAGGAAATGAATAGGAAAGGAATGGGAAAGGAATAGAAAATATGCATAGCATAGCAGAGCAGAGCAGAGCATAGCATAGAATAGAATAGAATAGAAATAGAAATAGAAATAGAAATAGAAATAGAAATAGAATAGACCAAAACAGAACAGAATATAGGATAGGATACGATAGGATATGACAGAGTAAAACAGAATGGTAGAACAGAAAAAGCCAACTAAAAAGTACAAACTATATGACAAAAGGGGAAAAAAATCTCATCATTTTAAACCCCAACTTCATAATTTCAGGAATTTTGATGTGAAATTTGAGCCTGTGATTCTACCCTGGAAGCTGGGGGTTGACATTTCCCTGTCAGAGCCTTGAGGAAGGTGTGATGCCCAAGGCCAGCCACACACCCCACTGACCTGCAGACAGCTTCTGCTCCTCAGCAATCTGCTCCAGCCGGCCCAGGAGAGCATCAATGTTGGATTTGATCTGTGTCAGCTCAGTTTTGATTGTCTGCAGCTCGCTGCTCTTCACTTGGAGGGGAGGAAGGAAGGAAAGGAAGGCACTCAGTGCCCTGCAGAGCAGCCCCACCCCACGCCCAGGGAACCTCCTTGAGCAGGCAGAAAGGAACCCCAGGCTGGAAACTTGCTGGGAGACTGGCAGAGGAGCTGGGGCCCGCTCCCAAAAGAGCCCATGGGTGCTGTGTCCAGGCAGGCTGTGGAGGCTGATCCCAGGCGTTGGCACGCTCAGGCTGTACTGATGCCTCAAGTTTTAGCTTTCATATTTTCCAGACTCTGCACTGCATTGGTACATAACTCTGAACTTCTGATAAAGTGTCAGCAAGTTCTCCTCACAGCTCAGGCAATCCTTTCCCAGCCCCAGAACCAAGGAAACTGCTGCAGCTTCGGGCCCCAAAAGTGCAAACAACAGCGAATTGAGTGAGGAGAGCAGCCTGGGAGGATGGGACTGCATCACCTGGAGCTGGAATAGCACAATTGACCCCAATATGGCAATGGACCAGAACTGATGAAAGTTTGAACTCGTGACTGGTCATCCATCTCAGGTGCAGCCTTGGCTGGGTTCTTGCACTGCCCAAGGTGCATCCTTTGAGGGCCTTTTAATAAATCCCCACTTCATCCCTTTATCTCTGTCCAGCCTCTGTTCCAGGCACCTCTCAAGGCATCAGTGCCTTTACCTCCCCCAGGTTCACCCCCACAGCTGGGCTGCTGTTCGCCGGTGTTTCGGGCTTCGGGAGGTTTTTTGGGAGGTCCCCGTGCTGCCCCACACGTGTCCCCAGCCCTGGCACATACTCACACTTGAGCCTGGCCGAGCTGTTGGCGATGGCAGCCGACCTGGCGAAGAGCTTGACGGGCAGCGAGGCCTTGACGCGCCGCACCAGGGGGATGGTGACGCGCGGCCGCTTCACCGGCACCACCCGCGGCACCGGGGACACCCGGCCCCGGTACTCGAAGATCCTGAGGGGAGGGGAGGGGAGGGGAGGCAGGTGGGGCTGCCTGGGGGGTGCCCCAGCCCGAGCCCCCGCAGCTTGGGGCCGTCAGATGCCGCCCCACACCCAAAGCCCGCCCTCCCTGCCCCACACAGCCCCTCGGGCCGGTGCCTCACCTGTCGTAGAAGTCGTCTCTGTAATAGTCATAATCGAAGTCGTAGCCACTGCAGAGACAGTCAGGGCGTCAGGGGTTAATTAGTGCTGGTAATTTGTTATTTTTGCTCCCTCACTGCCTGCTGAGCGCCCCCAGGGCCAGCGAGGGTAAATAAAGTGATCCCCCTCAGGAGGGACTCTCCTGGCTGCAGGGAGGTGGGCTGGGCCCAGGAGGAAGACCGGGGGGCTGAAGGCACTGGGGACGGTGATGTTGGCAGCAGGGTGTTAACCTGCTTGTCTCAAGGAGGAGCAAGAAAATGTGTGTGGAGAAAAGTGGGGACAAAGGGGATATTTATGGGGATATTTATTGATGTAAACCTCTCTCCCCTCAGCCAGGCAATGACCACATTCTGTGTTCTTAAGCTTGAGCTGCATTTTAACCCAAAGCAGGAGCATCCCCAGTCCCAGCAGACCCAGTAACACTCTTCCCCTTGCTGCAGATGATTTTTCACAAGGCAGCACAAACCAGGGCACAAACCCTTCCCTGGTGTGCTGAGGCTCAATTAACACTGGCTAAACCAGCGATGCTGGTGATCTCCTCTCTGCTCCCAACAAACAGAATTAGTGCAGCCCCAGACAGAAAAGTCTGTCCTGCCTCCTGGAGTGGCTGAAAAGAATGAGAGATTGATGGGGGAGAGGAAAGGGCTAAGCCACGAGGAGCTGGGGACAGGGAAGGATGAGCACCCAAGTGTGTAGCTGGGAGATAATTTGGTGTCCTGCATCTTTGACAGAAGTGGCAAGGACAGTGTGTGGCTGACTGCTGGGAAGTGTGCTTTGTCCCAGGAATGCCAGGATGGACCTGTTGGAGTCTGAGGCACTGAGTGTGTGCCCTTATCTCTGATACCTGGCTCTGACATCCAAGAAAACATTGAATTTCATATAACACCATGAAAATAACTGTAAAAGTTAAATAGAAAAACTAAAAGTGTAAGTGTGTAAATTAGACAGTTTTCTTAAGTCACTGGGTGAAAAAGTTAGTTTAAGCTTAAACTAGTTTAGAGAACAGAAGACAAGATGGAGGAGTTAGGGTATTGTCTCTTGTCCTTTCTTCTAGAGGTTTTTGGGTAGTAGTAGGTGATTGTATAGAGAATGTCACAGTGCAGCACACAGGTGAGGGGTCATTGGGTCAGTAAGAAAAACAATTAACATGTCTATTGTCAATTAGGTAAGGATAAGTATAAAGATAAAAGAGCTGCATATTTCAAGGCCATTTTGTGCCTTTTGAGCCAGGTGATGGTGGGCTGAACTTGAGCAGAAAGTCTGGGGAAGACCTGCCAAGTGTTTTGATTATGTGTTAATAAACACAAGAAACAAGAGCCTAAGGAGCCTTTGGAGAATCCTTCCTGACACAGAACTGAGATAAGGGAAACTCTCTGTGAAGGAGTATCCCAAGGGAGCTTATCCCTGAGGAGATTGAAATCTCCAGCAACAGGACCCAGGAGGGCTGTCCTGCCTGTCCTGGCACTGAGCTTCCCAGCCAGTGTTTAGTGTCACTGCCTGGCTTCTGGAAGATGTTTTTTCCAGGCTCCTTGGGTTCCCCAGATGCCCATGGCAGCCTCTGGAGACCCAGCCTGTGCCTGGGGGGAGCTGAGCACCTCTGGATGCTTGGAGACACCAGAGCTGCTTTGGGGCATCAGTTGGTGCCAGGGTTAAGGATGTGGAGGTGGCTCGTGCACCTCCTGCCCCAGTCATGCCCTGCCATGGGGACTTCAGTGAGGAGATATTCCATAAAGCCGGGCCTTATCCCTGAGCAGCTGCTGCCTGAGGCGTTCCCAGAGGGCTGAGGATGGGATGGGCAGTGCAGGTGTCCCTGCTCAGCAAGGAGACTGCTGGGGAGATGTGACTGTGGAGTGTAATCACCACAATCCTCCCAGGCTCCACTGCAGGGTGGAAAAGAGCCATTTTTGACAGATGAATTCCAGATTCTTTTCAGGTGCCCTCCCCTTCTGACCCACGTTGTAGCCAACATTCCTGCTGGGCTCAGAGGAGACAGGAATATCCCACAGCCTCTGTCCCAACCACTGCATGAGGTGTGTTCATTTATTCCCTCTTCTGGACCGAAAGGGAGATGCTGCTGGGATGAGCCCAGCTGTTTGTGGGGCTAAGGGGATGGAGAGCAGGGATCCAGGCACCTCCATGGAGGTTTTCCTGATGGGTAATGGGATTTTTGTTCATCCTGAGGTGAAACCTGGAGATACAAAAACTCACCAAGAAAATAGCTCCCCTCAGCCTGCCAATTCACTTTGATCACTGAGGATGTTTGACTTCAGGTCTGTTTGAATCCAATAAATATAAAATACCATCAAAATAGGAAGCCATTTGAAAGGAAAATTGAAGTAAGATGCTTCTACGCTGTCAGACTCTTCTTCTTCAATTTTTTCCCCCTCCTTAGATGCAACTCAAATGAAATTGCTGCAATTTTGTAATATTTTCAATCCTGACAGGCTCTGCTGAAGTGCTTCTGGCTCTCTCCAGCAGAGCCAGCGTTCTCCCCAGTCCCAGGCAAGAGGAGACAGTGGGATCTCCCCCTGGCTCCAGGGCTCTGAGTGGGATGAGCCATCCTGAGACTGAGGGATCATTCCTCAGTGACCTGGCAGCTCTGTCTTTGTGCACAGGAATTGTTTTTGCCATTTTTCAGTCAGCTGGTGACGCTGCACCCTTTCAGATTAAAGCAGGAACAACCAGAGTGAAAGGCTGGAAAGCAGGAAGGCTTCAAGGAATGCCATGCTTCCACCTCCTGATGCATTGCCTCTGCTTTGTTAGCCTTTAGCAATCAAACATTTCTGCTGCCTCAGGTTCAAAATGCAACTGTTCATAACTGAGGGGTGATTGTCTGCATGTGCTGCCTCTCCACTGCATTTGTGGGGCCACTTCTGAGCCTGGACCTGACAGCAAATGTGCATTTGAGCATCTGTGCTTTAATTACTGCCTGATATTGCTAATCAGTGCCACGGTGAGCTCAGCTCCAACCCTTCTGTCATGGAATTACGGCAGCAGGGAAAGGAATACCTGCTGGAAAGCTGCTTGGAAAATGTGGCATTGGTCAAACATGATCTTGTGGAGCTGTGTGACTCCTTCCTCCTGCACACAGCCAAGGCAGTGGGAAATAAAGGGATGTGTGATGAAGCCTGGCATTCCCAAAGTGCTGGGCCTGCTGTAGGCTGGGACATCACCGCTCACCTCCCCCTCTGCCCCAAGGCTGCTCTCAGCCCTGTCCATGTGGATTTGGCTCTGGGATGTCACTGCTCCAGCACAGGGCCTGGGAGGGGTGTTTGGGGTGGGCTGACACCAGCTTTGGGTGTAACAGGGGCTGGATGCCAGTGTTCACTGCCTGTGACAGTCAGTCAGCACTGGTTTGTCCCTGTCACCACTTCAGAGACCCCTCCTGGGGCCACTGAGCTGCAGACACCCAGCAGCTCTTGCTCAGGTTGTCCTCTCTGTCCTTTTGGCCACGGAGTAGCTTTAGCCCCAGCTCTGCAGGGCAGGACAGAGATTTGTACCTCCAACACCTTCCCTTCACAGCCAGCTGACAGCATCTGGGTGGGACCTCTGGCACTGACCTGAACATGGCCCCACATGCCCCAGGAAATCCTGCCCAGACATTTGCTGGGCAGGAAAAAGGACGTGTTGCCAGAAGGCAGATTTGGAGAGGCAGCAAGTGACTCCCTGGGGACACGGTGACAGCAGCTCACTGCCCAGCCACGCCTGTGGTGGTGGCCAGGGTGCCAGGCAGGACCTTCCCTGTGCAAAGGGATGCTCTGGGAAGTGCCAGAGGGAGGGAGGCAGGAGCAGAGATCCAAGAGTGGAGGACAGCAGTGATGGCAGCAAGCGAAGGTGCCTCGTGTGGAGACACCTGAGAAAACTGATGGTGGCATGAGCCTGGGTGGAGGTGGATGGGAGGCTACATCCCCAAGGGTTTCTGTTAAACACCTGGACACCCACCTAGGCTGGTGGGTAGATCAAAATGTCCCAACTGTTGCTTCCTGTATGTTCAAAATGGAATTTCCCTTGCCTTGCCTTCCCTTCCCCTCGACCCTCCCATGCAGACTTGGAGCAAGGCAAAGCAAAATCCAGCCTTTGGAAAAAACCCTCTGCTGTGTTTAACACAGCACTTCTTATAAATTACAGTGCTATGATTTTTGAAGTCTAACATTTAGTAAAATTGATGGTGGTTTGGGAAGCTGTAACCACAGCCCGCTGCAAACCTGGGATCCCTGTTTTCCAGGTGATATCGTAAGTTTTGCCAGTCCAGATGGCAAAGTTTTTATCTGACAGCCAGTCTGGGATGAAATATTGCTGGAGCTCGGAGCAGTGCAGTTCTCTGGCCCATATTTTAGCATATCCATATTTGTGGGAGGAAGCAAACATCTCTCTCAGCAGTCTGGAAGTCTGAAATATTGGTCATTCCAGAGGAAGGGATTAGTGCTCCAGGCACGGCTGAGCAGTAAATGAAAAGCTCGTTAGTGCAAGATGTATGGAAGGAGCTGATGTGTGTTATGGCCCCAGCCCCACGTGAGCAGGCCACGTGCAGCTGAACAGCAGGATCTGTGTCATCTCTGCTCCCATCTCCTTCCCCTCAAGTGAATCCCCTGGGAATGCAGAGAGCCACATCCTGGGAAAGGCCAAAGGGTCCCAGGGTGGGAGGAGACACGTGCCTGAACGCTGCACAGGGGGAGAGAGGCTCCTGGAAGGAACCCAGGGATGCTCTGTGGGTGCTGGGAGGCTGCTGGGGCTCTGGCTCTGCCAGAGCTGCATTTTCTAACCAGGAGTTGCCATTCCACACCACAGCAGTGCAGGACCACATGGCTCAGTCTGAACCACAAGGTCTTCTTCACCCCTCACGCTTTTTTCTTCTTTTTCTAGAAGAATCTCCAGTTCTCGTGATTTCCCCTTTTGCTACACCCACCTATAAGCCAAATGCTGATTTCAGTCTTTTTCTCCCAACCTTACATCTTCCAACTCCTGTCTCAGCCCCACAGTCTCCTCACCATGAGACTGACATCAAAATTATGACAATTTATAAATAAAACACATTTGGGGACCTTGTTATTTGGTTTTGGGTTCCTGAACCTGGAGGGCACTCCTGATATACCTTCTCAAGTTTCCCCTTCTGCAACCAGAAGCAAGAACTTAATGAGTTTCTCCCCTCATTCCCCTGACTCCAGAGTCTGGGGCTTAAATTAAAATCTTCACCTCTTGTGGAAGTAATGGTAAATTCTCTCGAGCTGAGGGCTCACTGGCACCCGTAACACGCTCCATGTGCCTCAGACCTCTCTGTGTCCCACGTGTCCCTCCTGCTCCCTTGATCCCTTGGCTGTGCTCCTCAGAACAGGCTCCCTTGGGATTTCCCCCAGCCACCTCCTTGGTTCACCTCCATCTCTCACCCCAAGGGCTTCCCACTTTCTTCCCTTCTTCTCTCCCTTTGATAATCATTCTTCTCTTTCCCTGAATTATCCCTGTTCCCTGTTTTTTCCCCCAACTCAGCACCTCTGTGCCCTCTCCTGCTCCCTGGCTCCTTTTCCTTCCCCTCCTGTGGTGTGGTAAAGGCAGCTACTGCCCACCCCTCTCCAGGCCCAGCACCTGCACAGGACCCAGGAAACCTCCCACAACACCCCAGGACTGGCCAACCTTGGGGCTGCCACTGCCTGAGGGGCACTGCCAGGGAAAGGAGCCCTTGGGAGAAGCTCAGCAGCAGTGCCCAGGCTGCTGGGGGCAGGCAGCAGGAGCTCAGGGGGGTGCTGGAGGGCAAACACCAGCCCGGAGACCTCACCCACTGTGGTCAACACCTACCTGTACAAGGCAGAGGCTGCTCTCTTCAGCCCTTTGGGTCTGTTGGGTTTGGGCTCCCCGGCCATGTTGATGTCTGCAAGGAAGGGACACGCAGCTGTGACACTGCCCGTCCCTGACCGCCCCCACCTCAACCTGGGCACGGAGCTGGGGCAGAGGCACACAGCCCTGCCAGGGAGAAAGGAGCTCCCCCACACCCCCCAGCCAAGCCCACCTGCTTCTGGCACGTCTGGGGCCTGCTGGGGGCTCCACAGGAAGGTGAATAAACCCTTGCACTTGGCAAACCTCTTCCTTTTCCCAGAGCCATTCGCCATTCCCTGAGCTGTCAGCACCCTGCACATGGTGCACTCCACACACACAAATCTAGGACAGCTTTCTTGGGAGATTTTGGTGTGATAAGGCAAAATTCAAACCTGCTGCACGGTGCTGACTGCTGAGCATCCAGCCCTGGATCCTTGGGGAATAATGAGGAATGCTGGGCCAGGCAATCCAACATGGGGTGTGGAGCCAGAACTCAGAGAGGTGAGTGGTGGCAAATGCCCTGCTGCCTTCTCCAATCAGCCCCAAACCCTGTTGGTTCTTCCTATGTGTATGAAGAGGTGTCAGACCTCTGTGCATGGCAGATCTGAGCTGAGCAGGACAGGATTTCCTCATGTGGACCAGCACTGCCAAGCCCACCACAAAACCATGGCCCTCAGACACAGCAGGAATAAAGAGAAAGGAGTTATTTATGTAAAAAAACCCCTCATGTTTCAAAAATGCAAGCAGTGGAAGGAGGGAGTGGAAGAGCAGCTGCTGAGTCCATGGGGTGGTTAAGAACCCCCTTCATCAGCTGGTGTGAGGCCAGCGATCTCCAGGAGCTCGGAGGAGCCACACCTGTGCTGCTGGAGAAGGCTGGGTGGGTTCAGGAGACTCTGCATCACAGCAGGGTCACCTGCTGAACAGACTGGTCCTCAGGGCTCTGTCCTGACCTGCCCTGAGGGACCTGGGCCCCCAGAGAGAACCAGGGGCTGGGAGTGTCCCACCCCTGGGTATGTCCTGCAGCTCCATGACACCCCACTGGAGCATTGGGATGGACCAGAGAGGTGGTGAGAGAAAAAGATCCCAGAATGGTTTGGGTTGGAAGAAATCTTCCCTGAAAGCACATCCCATTCCACCCCTGCCATGGCAGGGACACCTTCCACTGTCCCAGGCTGCTCCAAGCCCCATCCAACCCAGCCTGGGACACTTCCAGGGATCCAGGGGCAGCCCCAGCTGCTCTGGGCACCCTGTGCCAGGGCCTGCCCACGCTCCCAGGGAGGAATTTCTTCAATGACACCTTGCTTTCAGCTACCTGCACCTTAGGGGACATCCAGCCAACCTTTTAGCACATCAGGTCATTTAAAACTTGGATTTTTTTCATGCTTTATGAAGGGACTTTATGAGGAAATGTGGACAGGCGGGTCCACACACCATCAAAATAAAGAGCCTACAAAGTGAGCCAAAGGAACATCCTGCTGACTTAGGAATAACCAGGAAAATCATCTTCAGGAGCACGGGAAGGCTGCAGCACTGCTGGGAGGAGCACAGGCTGCACACGACTCTGGAGGAGCATGGACACGTTCCCACTGCTCAGGGCCTTGCTGTCCAATTCCTTGGCTGCCTTTTAGGGTCTGTCGAGAGACCTTATCCCTGCTGAAGCTGGAGCCTGGCCTCTTTCTGAGCCTGAACAACAAATGTGGTGTGGTGTGGTTGGCTGAGCCATGGCACAGTGGAGGCACATTGAGAGCCTGTGCTTCCCTTGCTGCCTTCCTCCACCCCACCATTCCCAGCTGCAGGGAAAGGTTGAGCCTGGATGCTGAGAGGGCTGCACATGGCTCCAGGGCCAGCTGCTGCCAGCAGGAACATTTCACACATGGTCACCTCTTGGAGCCTGCTGAGCCACCAAGGCTGCTGGCACTGCAGGGGAACAGAGGGAGCAATCCTGCCTCGCTGCAGCCCAGGACACAGCCCTGCCCAGCTGCAGCTCCCTGGCTGAGAGCCCTTTCTGCTGCCAGGGTGCATCTGGCCACTCACTGCTCCTGGAGAGCCCCTGACAGCACCAGGCTGGGCAGCACCATCCAAGGGAGAGGCACAATTAGCTCCATTTGCTGGTCCCCACTGCTACAGAGAGCCCTGTGGAGCCCTCACTGGCACCTGACAGCAGCAGGGAATTCATACTCTCAGCTCTGGTGGTGAGGGGCAGTCAGATCCCACAGGATTCCCTTGAGAGTGAAAAAGGAGAAACAAGAGCTCAGCAGGAACATCAGCCTGGACAGATTTTGCATCTCATTCTCATTCTGGCTTGCTCCTCTGCATCACTGACTCCATCTGCCCACCCCAAGGCAGTACTGATCCCTCCTGCTCATACCCAGGCACCTGTTCCATGCTCAGTGGGGAGCTTGTGCTTTGTCCAGTCCACATGGCAGGGGCAGGGGATGGTGTGGATCCAGCTTCCAGTGCCTCCCCAGGGCAGCAGCCTCCTGCAGTGCCTGGGGTGGCTGCAGAAGGCACTGCAGAGGCTGTCAGGACCTGCAGGGACAGTCCCTTCAGCAGGGTGTCTGCAGTGTCCCCTGGCAGTCCCAGCCTGTCCTCCCACTCCACATTCCCACATGGCCATCCCTCCTCTCTTTAGAGAAAAGCTTCCAGCCTTGTCTCAGCACAGCTCCTCTGTGCTGGCTTCTCCTGCACCCCGCTGCTCACTGCCAGGAGCAGCAAGGGGAAGCCTGAGCAGCTCTCCTGTGCTCAGACTGGCCCATGAGGGGCAGGCAGATCAAAGGCAGCTGAGTTTGCACCTTGTCCAGGACATGTACAGGACACCCAGCTACCACACAGCCCTTCTGCCTTCTTTTGGAATTCCAGGCCTTTTTGGAATTCCTCTCATCAGAGATGAGAGGTTTCAGGGGTTTTCTGAGAGGAGGTTTTTCTCACAGCAAACATCTCTCTCTTCAGCTAAGTGAGCAGGTGCTCCCTGCCTCTTGCCACATCTCCTCTATCTGTCTGGAGCATCACAAGGGTTCCCCAAGGCCCCCTCCATCCTATCTCAGGCTGCACACGTGGGAAACACCTGGGCTGGAAGCAGTCCTGGCACGCTGAGCTCTGCCAGGTCTGCAGCTCTGCTCTCCTGGAGCTCGACAGAAGTGAGCAGAAGTTTCTGGTACCTGGATAAACCTCAGAGGAAGCAGCATGGCCCCAGCACAATTCCTTGTGCCAGGCTGCTGTACCAGCAGCAGGGTGAGAATGGGTTGCAAATTGCTTTCCTGGGTACCCACTGCCCACAGCAGGCTTGGAAATCACCATTTTTCATTAAAAATCCTCTCCCCAGTTCCAATTCCCACTTGGAGCTGGTGACAAGACCACCTCAGAATATGACACCTCAGAGTAATCTGAGAAAGCAAAGATGCAGCTGAGGGGATTTGCTTGTTAGTTCTCATCCCACAGCAGTGCAGAGGTGGGGGGAAGTTCTCTCATTCAGCATCTGCTGGCTGAAGTTAGGCTGAGCTGCTCTGGAGATCAGCTCTCCTGACAGGCCTGGTAGGGCCTGGACCTGGAAGGGAATCACTGAATCACAGGATGGGCTGGGTTGGAAAAGACCTTAAAGATCATCCAGTTCCACCCCCTGCCATGGCAGGGACACCTTCCACTATCCCAGGCTGCTCCAAGCCCCGTCCAACCTGGCCTTGGGCACTGCCAGGGATCCAGGGGCAGCCACAGCTGCTCTGGGCACCCTGTGCCAGGGCCTGCCCACCCTCACAGGGAGGAATTCCCTCTCAATATCCCATCCATCCCTGCCCTCTGTTTAATGCCATTCCCCCTTATCCTATCCATGTCTTTGATACCAGGCAATGTCTTTCCCCACCCTTGTTCTTCCCCAGCAGTTCCAGGACAAGGCCATGGGACGATCCAGAACTGTGGTTTTGCTGTTTGGCTCCTACAATCACAGCCCAGAGCTGAGGTTTTGGGCCACAATGTCACATGTGGTGCCTTTGATCCCATCCTACACGGGATCTGGGAGCGTTCAGGCCCTGCCTGGGGGTGCTGTGGGAGTGCTGATCTCCAGCTCTGTGCCTGGCCGTGGATCCTGCTGACCTTGCTTCATCACCCTGGGTCATCCCTGACCTGCTCTGCAGATCCAGCATCCCAGTTTGACCCAGCACTGGCCACCCCTTCACCATCCCCAATGGAACTGATGCTGTTTGGGTTTTGCCTTTTTTGTTCTTTTCTATGTTCTCTGTATTGTTTGCACATTTATCTGTAGCCTATCCTATCAATGGCCAGTTTTCCCAGTCATTTTCCACAGCCTTTCCCTAGGCTGAAAACCAAAACAAATTCCAGAGCTCCAAGGCCTGGGGGGGATACGTGACCCCTGTGTTATCTTGGTTCTTTCTGGGTACCAAACTTAAAAACAACTCTTCAAGATACATTTTTGTAGACAAAGTACAACCAGTGCTGAAGGGGGGCTCCAGAGAAGGGGCTTGACCTGGGGTGGGGAATTACATCACCACTTGTGCTCCTAATTGCTGCTTTCTATCAATTATGCTAATTTCCTAAACCTATAAAAATATCCTCACTCCCGGCAGGAGGGAATGGACTTTCCTTAACTGCACCCTGAAAACCTTCAAACAAAATAAAATAAAAACCAACCCACTTTTACATTACCTCCTGACCAAAACGCTCTCGTGTTTCATTCCCAAGCGGGGGAAAAGCCAGGAGGAGTGGGCTGGGGACTCACCCAGGGTCTGTCCGGCCAGCACGCGGCCGTTCTCGCCCAGCACGGCGGCGCGCGCGTGCCTCTCGTTGGAGTACTGCACGAAGGCGTAGCCCTTGTGCACGGAGCAGCCGACCACGCGCCCGTACTTGGAGAAGATGGTCTCCACATCCGACTTCTTCACCAGCGCCGTGTTGAGGTTGCCGATGAACACCCGCGAGTTGATGGACTTGGGGTCATTCTTGTTGGTGATGTTGCTGGTCTGCACCTTCAAGGACATCTTGGAGGCCTGCGAGGACAGGTGGGGAGTCAGGAGGGCGTGCAAAAGGATTCACAGGAAAACAGCTGGGGGATAAATCAGTGGAGGAAACAGCTCCTCAATTTCAACAGGTCACAGTGGGACAGATCCCGTCTCTGGGAGCCCCTGGGTGCTGGGAGAGCACCGGCACAGTCAATCCTAAATTCTTGCTGGAAATTAATTGATCAGGCTGAACCTGGTTGGTTCTGTGCAGGGCCAGGAGCTGAACTTTAATGGGACTTGTGGGTCCCTTCCACCTCTGAGTACTCTAAGGTTGCTTTTAGAGGAGAAACCAAGATTTAAATCCATTTCACATCTAAGTGAAAGCTTTGATGCTGTCATACCAAAGCTTTTACCTCTCTATGCTAAATCACAATTCAAAGAACTCTTTCTGAAGCAGTCTGCATCCAGCACCTTGGTTCATGCTCGCTGTTCCAGGCTTTCCCCTGCCAGCACCTCCCAGCCCAGCCCAGCCCTCACTGTTCACAGGGATGGGTTTGTCCCTGTGGGGCCACACTTGCACCTGGAAGGGGACTTGGGAATTTTGGATATAAATGAAGAGATTTAAGCAGTGATCAGCCTGTGTGCTCCTGCTGGCACTTGCGCTGCACTGCCTGCACGCCGAGTTTTGGGCTGGATTTTGTGCCAACAGGAGGTGTCACTGTTAGCTCAGAAATCACCATCACATCGGCTTGGAGCCGCTCCAAGCCCCTTCCCGATCCTCCTTCGTGCCTCAGGTACCTGGTGGGCAGCCCCTGGGAACAGGTTTGCCTTCTGAGCACGAGAGAAAGACTGGAAGTTGTCTGAAATCCAAGGCAGCGTGGCCTGTCTGCTCAAACTGCAGCAAAACCCTCAGCTGTCCAGAGAGATCAGCTTGATTTCCACCTTCCAGCCCAAGGAATGCTTTGGGATCCGCGCTGTGCTGCACACAGGGAGTGGCATTTACCTGGGAGCTGTGCCAGGTGTTTTGTGATGCACATTGAGGTGCTGCCCTTCCCCAGCCCCTTCCAGCAGCAACCACAGGTGCTCCCACTCCCGAGGGCAACAGCACCAGGGTGTGCACAGCTTCTGGAGCTCCCCAAGCCTGGCACAGGGGCTGCACTGCTACCACAGGGCCTGCTGTCCCCTGCCTGGTGGTCCCCAGCACCTGCCCTGGTTTTGGGGTGCTCTCTGGGCTCCAAGCCCAAGTCTGAAGAGCCTGGTCCGAGGTGGGGTGTTGCCCTAAAAACTCAGTTTTTCGATCTTGTTGACATAGTTTCTAAAGACTTTCCCAGGACAGTAACTGTAAACATAGAGATGTGAACATTCTTTCTGATACACATCTTGTGATGGACATCTCTCACAGCCAGTGAGGTTGGAAAGGTGTTATCCTGACCATCCAATCCCTGGCCATGGTCAGAAACTTATAAATTCTGGGAGAAGAAATAAAGTTCTCTCCTTCCTTCACCACACCTCGAGCTGTGTCTGTGTGACTCATTTTGTGTCCAGCAGCACCAGGGGATGGTGGCAGCTGCCTGCCTGCACTGCTGAAGCCCCTGTGGACCCTGTCCCCCTGGTCCCCAAGCCCTGGCAGGCTCTGCTGCCCCCAGCCCAGCCTGCCCGAGGCACTGACAGGGCCCTGGGGGATGTTCCAGCTTTAGGGCTCACCCTAAGCCACACAGTTCCCTTTCCTACACTCCTGCCCTGGCAGGCTGGGCCTGGCAAAAAGCCACAATATTTTGGGGTTGCATCCAAGACTTTCCAAAACCCCAGTCCTGTTTCTCCCTTCCTGCACAAACTTCCCCACAGGACACAAAATCTTTGGTTACTTCTCTCTCCTCTGTTAGAGGGGAGAACATCATCACACCCCCCTCACCCTCTGCCAGGGGAGCCCTGTTTTGGCTCCTCAGGGATGTTTTCCCTCCCAGTGCCCCAGGATCTGCTCCTGCCACAGCCCCACTCTGCCCGAGGTGCCCACACAGCCAAGCATCGGTGTCAGGGCTCCAAATCCCAGGGGCTGATATTCCAGGACAGGGACACGGGAGGAGACTGCCCCATCCCACAGGCAGAGGGTGTTTGCAGCCTGACCCAGGAGCCAGAGGATGCTGGAACAATCCCCCAGTGGGCTCTGTGCCCAGCTGCCAGGGGCACACCTCCACCTTCCACCTGGGAGCACAAAGGGCTGGACACTCCATCCCTTTCACCATTTACAGCCAGACCACACAGAGCACTGGAGACACCTGGCAAGTCTGAGCCTCTCTGTCAGGATGTGGCTCCACAATAAATCCCCTCTGGCTCCAACCCCTGTGACTCCATTAACCTGCCACTGAGGCTGGAAATAATCTTCCTGCTAAATCCAATCATAAAAATAAAAATGAAAGTTAGACTTTGTCTGAGTCTGGCTCATTGTATTTTCCCTTTCAGGCTAACAGATTAAAAGAGCCAGAGACTTTTGTTTTATTACTTTAAAACCAATTCCTGGCAGGCAGAGTTTTCCTAAAAACACTAGGAAAAATAGCCAAAGGACAGGACTTTTAAAGGAATCTAAGTGAATTAAATTCTCAACCTTTGGCAAGTCACGCTCCAACTTCTACCCCCATATCAGCCCTTGTTTAATTTCTCTATTTGAACTTTTTTTTCCCAATGCCATCTGGAAGAGGTTCCTGAAGGAAGCCAGTGCAGATGGGGAGAAATGGAGGCTTTTTCCAGCTCTTTGGTCACTCTGGGTACCCAGCTTAACCCCCAAGGACTCATTTCTTACAAATCCTGAGTAGCTGCACCAAGCCCAGCTGTAGGCTGGGCTCCAGGGTGGCCAGTGCCCAGGAAATCTCCTCCTGAATGTGGCCAGTGCCCATTCCTTCTCCATCCAATTCCAATTCCAAACTCCATTCCAATCTCCATCCTGAACGTGCTGGGAGTGGCAGAGGCAGTGCAGGACCTTCAGAGAGCCTGCACACTTGTGGGGTGTCTGCAGCCAGGTGGCCCTGGGTGGCCTTGCTGCCCTGAGGATACATCAGACCTGCTGTGAACTCCTTTCCCTGGGGATTCAGCAATGTCACACCTGGTTCTCCTGGAGTCTCCAGCTCCTGAAGCTCCCATTTTCTTGTTTCAGAGCCAGCCTGCCCTGGCAGCTCTTTCCCCCACCCCAGGCCATGCCACAGGGACATCGTTGGTCCCTTTAAGCTGCTTCCTCCTCTACAGGATGCACTCCCACTTTTCTATTCCCATCTGGTGGAGTCTGGGAAAGTCTCCAACCAATTTTCTACCCACCCATGGCCCTCATTTCCCCCAGACCTCAGAGAAACTCCCCTGGTCCCTGGGCAGAGTGTGAGCCCTTCTCCCCATGCCTGGAGCCCCCCATCCAGCTTGCACTGCCCTGGGGCCTGTGTCCCACCTGGATTCCAGGATGTTGCAGGATATCCAAAGCCTTCCTCAAGTTAGGGCAGACACCAACCACTTTGCCACAGAAAAAAAAGTAGCTTGGTCAAATTTGGCCACACTATTTGCAGGCCTGGCCCTGCTGCAGGCAGTGCTGAGGAAGGTTCTCTTCATCAAAATCAGACCCAGCACTCACATCAAACACACCCCTGGCTCTGCTTTCACACCCCAGCACTGAAGAGCTTCACTGCTGCTACCCCCCAGTCCCAAATCAGGCAAAGCCCAAAGCCTCCCCAAGGACTAATCAGCCCAGTCAGGTATTATTTACTTGAGCCTGAAGCTCTGCCCAGCTGTTTGCAGCTGCAAACCCCAATTACATCAGGGGCTGAGCTCCTTAAGCCTGTGTAGGAGGGATGTGGGTTAAGCTGCCTCTGTGCCTGGGCTGGAACAGGCTGCAGGATTCAGGTGGGATGTGGGGAGGGTGGGGATATAAAACTGTGGTTTCCCCCCAGTTCCATGGGCTCTCAGCAGGTGCCACGTGAGCTGTCAATGGACCCTTCCCCATGTGGGTTTGCTATTAAAAAAAAGATCTGGATGAAGCTGAGGTGTGGGCAGGATCTTCACTGGGAGAAGGAAATCTCCTAAAGCATCACCCAAGATGAAGATTTTGCCATGGAGTTGGGGGGGGTTTGAAAAAGGGGAATCTGCCTCTCCTGGGTCCCTGCTGCCCATCCCCACCTTGCACCCTCCTTGTCTGGCTCCTGTGACCTTCCCCACGCTTCCTGCAGCTGGACCAGCACGTGCTGTGCTTGTTCCCTGTGCTGTGTCCTCCCCTGGGTCCCAACAATCCCATCAAACTGGGCATGGGATGAGCAACTTCTACCCCTGTGGAAGGGCTTTGTAAAGCTTTACCTACAGGAGACACAGCCCCACTGCAGGGACAGTGAGCAGGGAGCTCATCCCTTGGGGCTCCCAGTGGCTCCAGAGCCACCTCAGGACACAGCAGATCTGTGCAGGGACGTGCCTGGGCTGATGGGAGATGGGACAGGGCCACCAGATGGCCAAGCCAAGGTCAGGCAAGGTGATGGCCACGCTGCTGGGAGGGCTGGGGAGGGAGGCAGTGGGACCCCGGTGTCTGCAGATGGGAGCTCTCCAGGGCCATCTGCCCACGCTCTGCTGGCCCTGCCCGGGCAGGCAGCAGGGATTTGGCAGCAGGGAGAAGGGAAGGGCAAGGCTGGGGAATGCTCAGAGGGTTTGGGCCCCATCACTGGTGGCTCCCAAGCCCCTGGGCACTGCGTGTGCCTGCACCCTGAGCAGCTCCGCTGCTGCCACACACAAGCCAAGCATTCCCTACAGAAATCAGCCTCCCCTTCTCCTCTGTCCCACTATTTGGGATTTCCTTTTAAACAGAGCATCACTTGGCACCACTTACTGGCCTCCTCACTGTAACAACTGGAAAAGGGCATTTTAACCATGGCTGTTAATATTTCATACTCCCCCTCCCTGGATTCCATCAGGGAATGTGTGTCCAGGTGAAATCCAGCTCAGCCATCAGCTGGGAAACAGCTCCACAGCTGGGGAGAACAGAGGCCTCTCCAGCCACCATCACCAGGGAACATCCAGCAGAGTCAGAG